AATACAAGATGAGCTTGGAACATCTCATAGTGCCAGAAAGTCAGGAAGTGCTCAAAAACAAAGCAAACATACCACTATGGGATGTGAAAAAGATACAGGACCAATGCAGCCAACGGCCAAAGCTAGAACAATTTGAACAACAAAATAAGTAGTATTGGATGGAAACCCAACATATAATATATACACCCACTGAGTCCATACTGATATAAGCAAATGACTGAATAAAAAAATGACTAAGAGAGAATAAATCAATCTCCCAAGCAGAAGAATTGAAAATAATTTATGTAGCTAATGCATCTTCAAAGCAGAAGGTACATAAACCCTCACTCCTTAATTGTGGGCTGCACACACTTTTTCCCAAAGGGTAAAATATGGAAAGAGGGACAAAAGAGGAACTACAAAGTGGACAAACACTGCTCTAGCCAGGTGACCAAAGTTAACATCAACAGTGATAGGTCATGTTGATAGTGTTAACTCTGATAAGGTGTGATAAAAATGGAGCTGTGCGCCGGGTTTTGTTTTCATGACTAAAAGGCTCAGGGGTCACTCCAGGGAAACTGGGCTGACTGAGCTGCACAAAATAACCACACAAGAGACATAAATACCTTTTTCTTTGGGGTCGCTGTGACGGCTCCTCTGACTTTAAGGGTCCGCAGAAAGAGAACAAGAGACAGCACACACACACACACACAAGGGGTCAGAGTATATCTTCATGATGTTCACTGTCAGCAGGTTCACTGCCACCTGGGTAGACCACACCCAAAGGCACAGTAAGAGAAGGGGACACACACAAGGCACTTCCATGGAACATTCTATTCTAAACAGGGCAAGGGGTTATATTACAAAGAAACAGATGAGTGTAGCTCCACCCATGGGGCTGTAGCAAGACACACTCATGCAGGAGACACCAGTCCCTGGAACCCAAGAAGGGTGGGGAAAGCTCTGCCACATTTCTGGGACTGAGCGCCTCAGCACCCAGCCAGGAAGTGTGATTCAGTCATGTGCAAGGCTGGTCTCCCACAGCTGTGGTCTCCTCCCCAAGCCCAGAACCCCAGTCTAAACAGGACAAAAATATCAGATGGATCCCAATTAAGGGTCACTCCCCAAAATACTGGATCAGTACACTTGTAAGACTGTCAAAAGTCATCACAAACAAGGAAGTCTGACAAACTGTCACAGCCAAGAGGAACCTACAGTATTGGATGACTCAAAGTATGATTGGATAACCCAGACTGGATCCTGAACAGAAAAAAAAAAGTGGTAAAAAAAAAATCTGAAGTTTTGATAATAACTGAGTGTGGGCTTTAATGAATAATTATATATCAATATTGGATCATTAGTTGTGACAAATTTACCATGGTAATGGAAAACACTAATAATAGGGGAAACCAGGTTTGGAATATATGGGGCTTTGCTAAACTATCTTCACAATTTTTCTGTAAAGCTATTCTAAAATTAAAAGTTTAAGAAAAATGCCAATTGTTTGCTGTGCTTGGTGGTGCACACCTGTGATTCCAGCAACTTGGGAGCTGAGGCAAGAAGATTGCAAGTTCCAAAGCCAGCTTCAGCAATTTAGTGAGGCCCAAAGCAACTTAGTGAGACCCTGCCTCAAAATAAAAAATAAAAAGGGGACTGGGGTTGTGGTTCAATGGTAGAAATGCTCCCCTAGCATGGGCGAAGCCTTGGGTTCAATCCTCAGCACCACATAAAAATAAATAAATAAAATAAATGTATTGTGTCCAACTACAATTAAAATAAACAAAAATTATCTAAAAAAATAAAAGGGCTGGGGATGTGGCTCAGTGATTAAGCACCTCTGGGTTCAATCCCTAGTACCAATAAATTGTTTTGTTGTTTGTTTAATGGATAACAATTGATTAGGCCCACAGGAAGGACAGAACACTTCAAAGTTGGACTTTCCAGCCTACAAGAATGGGAGTAGCTATTAATTTCAATGAAGGATAAAGGTATAAAGAGAAAGAAATGGTTAATAGGTACGTGTATGTGTGTGTGCATGTACCTGTACTGCCCGCTAGCTAGCAGTACCTATTCAGGCCAGCTGCACGTAGAGGTGGGGCAGCTAAACGTCTGGGTGACAAAACCCTCCTCCATTCCTGCAACAAGCTTTGCCTTCCATCCACTGAAGCTAGAGGCCAGAGGGCACAGTTAGGGAGCCATTACCTTCTGTTAAGATGGTGCTCCTCACATGAGCAGTATACAAATGATCTCCTATAAAGGGACAGATACTACCATATTTCTCTAAGAATATTCCTGGTGAGCTCAGTTATAGTAACTATAGGTTAAGAAACTAAAGCCTGTCTTTAATCTAGGAAGTATTTTTCAGTTGTAAATGATCACTACAGGAGTTGAGTTTAGAGGGGTGGGAAAGATATTGCTTTTGAAATGAAAATTCATAATTTAAAAGTTCTCTTATCATTTGCAAAGCTTTGACAAAAATCTTCTTGGATGCTCAGGTTAGAAAGCATAACATTGCTTGTCAAATCAATGAGAGAGGAAATGAAAGGGCACAGTTGTGGGAAGCCCTAGGAATGACAACTATGCAGGAGGCCCAGGACAGCCACCTTAGAAGAAGGAGGCTTTAGAAGACAGGTCTTCCAGGAAAGAAGTGTAATTGAGAGTGATCTGTTGCCTGGCCTGTGAGGAATCAGTAATAGGTTCATAGCAAAAGAGAGAGAGGCAGTTGTTAATTTCAGAAAAAAAGCAAAACACTGTACAGAAGAGCAAACAAAGGTGATCATGATATACTGTCTGGCTCAGTAGTAAACAATATTTACATAGTCATAATAATGTAAACACTAAAAATTAATTTAACAAAAATTGTAATGCAACTATTTTAAGATGGGGAGAGTAAAAATGGGAAGATTCTAGGGGCTGGGGTTGGGGCTCAGTGGTAGAGCACTTGCCTAGCATGTGAGACATTGGGTTTGATTCTTAGCACCACCTATAAGTAAAGAAAATAAAGGTCCATTGACAACTGAAAAAAAATACACATATATACACATACATATGTTCATATGTATATATATATATATATATAAATAAAATGGGAAGATTCTAAAGGTGATACACCTTTATGTAACTTAACAGAAAGTTAATAATGTCTAAAATTAATAAATCAAGAAATAGCTTAAAAAAGAGGAAAATATTGCCTTTGGGGAATAGGACTGAAAATAGAGAAGGGTAAATTGAGAATGTTTTTCATTATAATCCTTCAGTGCTATTAAGACTATTTTTTTCTGGGTCCTGGGGATTGAATCCAAGGCCTCTCACATGTTAAGCATATGTCCTACCATTGAGCTACACCCCTAGCCATTTAGACTTTTTCAAGTTTATACTATATTGCCTACATACGTTGATAATAGCCAAAAGATAATAATACTTAGTTATGGTTTGGATTTGAGGTGTCTCCCAAAAGTTCATGTGTGAGACAATGCAAGAAGGTTCAGAAGAGAAAAATACATGATTGGGTTATGAGAGCCTTCACCTGATCAGTGAATTAATCCATTGATGGGATTAACTGAGTGTTGACTGAAGGCAGGTGAGGTGTGGCTGGAGGAGGTGGGTAATTGGGGGTGTACCTTTAGGTTATATATTTTGTATCTGGAGAGTCTCTCTCTGCTTCTGATCTTCATGTGAGCCAATTCTTCCACATCTTTCACCATGTTGTTTTGCCTCACCTCAAGCCCAAGGGAATGGAGCCTGCTGTCTATGAACTGAGACCCCTGAAACTGTGAGCCAGCCCCCAGGTAAATTGTTCCTCCTCTACAATTGTGCTGGTCAGGTCTTCTAATCACAGCAGCACAAAAAGCTGACTAAAACATATCTTCCATCCTATTTCAAGTGAATCTGGTCAAATCTGAAGGCAATCACAGTCTACACACACCTTGGATATAAGTCTGCGGGGCTCAGCAGCATTTGTAATGAGAACACTCCACCATCAGTGACAATGACTCAGTGAAACCCTGAGAATTCAGTATCTGGCAATGGTTCTGAGTTTTCCCCGAATCATCCAAATCCCATGAAATTATAAAAACATACAAATGTAAGATGGGCTCTATTTAGTTTCTCCCTAGGCCTTTTGCCAGATTCCCATCCTAGCTGCCTTGCCTAATGTGAATGTCCTGGCATGCAAATTTGTAGTTACAGTTGGGATTTTAAAGCTCAAACCACCAGGCACCAAGAGTTTATTGAGTGGTTCACACATGCTGTAAAGAACACACTGGCCAGTAATGAGTGCAGTCTCTGGCCTCACTGGGCACAGGAGTCCCTAGAATGTTTTTTGAGTCTGGGGTCCCAAGCCTTGCAACAAGGACCTATTCAGTCCAGTGTGAACTCATACTGGCTGACCTTCCCGATGAGAACCTGTGTACTTATTTGCCTGTTATGATTTAGATGTGGTATCCCCCAAAAGCTGTGAGGCAATACAAGAAAGTTTAGAGGAGAAATGATTGGGTTATGAGAGCCTTAACCCAATCAGTGAATTAATCCCCTGGTGGAGATTAATGGAGTAGTAACTGAAGGTGGGTAGGGTGTAGCTGGAGGAGGTGGGCTTTGGGGTTATGTCTTTGGGGTATGTATTTTGTATCTGATAAGTGGAGTTTCTGCTTTCTGATCATCATGGAAATGGCTTTCCTCCATCAGATTCTGCCTCAATTCTGGTGGAGGAATACAGCCAACTGTCTATGGACTCTGAAACCATGAGCCTCCGAATAAACTTTTCCTCCTCTACTATTCTTCTTTTAGTCACAGAAGCAGAAATGTGACTAAAACACTCACCCTAGGATGTCAAATTCCTTGCAAACTGATTCTTTCTCAAAGAAACATACCTAGGTTCTAAGGTAAAAGTTCTACATTAATTTACTAAATTTTATGGAGTACAAGGGTGACTTTTCTTATTCCCTTACTTCCCCACGCGCCTCACTCCAGATTCCTTAAAAATGCTGGAAAAATTCATGAGTGAATTTATAAGGAGACTTCAATGGAGAGAAAAACCTTTATTTGCATAATAACAAACTTGAGTGAAGTTAAGAAGAGGCATACGAAAACCATATAAAGGTGGAAGAATCTTGGTGGAAGAAGAGAAGAAAGAGAATTGGGGAAAAAAGAGCAGAGGCATTCTCATAGCCACAAATACGCTTGACTGTTGGCATCTGGACTCCGAGTGCTCCTTATGCTCCCTTGGGACTTCTTTCCTTGGCTCTAGTCTCACTGCTGGCCCCCTTTCCTTGGCTCACAGTCCCAAAGTGCTCCCTCCCCCAAATCCAATGGAGGAGTGCTGCTTCGTACCCAATTGTGCTTGGCAGCAACTACTCAGAAGTTTTTACTTGGACTTTTTGCACCTCTTAGTGATTCTGACACCCTTGGACTGCCAGGAGTGGTTCTTCCTGCCACCAGAGGACTCTGGAATTTCTACTAAGGAAGGTCCTGGCCAATCAGTCCAAGAAGGCCCTGGATTCTCTTCCAGGCTGTTGTCTCTGCAGAAATGCTCCTGAGGGTGGAAGGTGCTGCTGCAGCAGGGAATATCATTTGAGTTTTCAGGTCTGTAGTCTGTGGTGAAAGAAAGAAAGGGAAGGAAAATGCAACCCTTTGTTTCTCCCAGGTGCAGGTAGGTCCTTAGGCCCCTCCCTAGCCACTTTCCTTCCATTTTTTTTTTTTTTTTTGTACCAGGAATTGAACTCAGGAGCAATTAACCATTGAGCCACAACCCTAGCCCTTCTGTGTATTTTATTTAGAGACAGAGTCTTGCTGAGTTGCCTAAGGACTCACTCAGTTGCTGAGGCTGGTTTTGAACTCACGATCCTCCTACCTCAGTCTCCCGAACTGCTGGGATTACAGGCATGCGCCACAACACCTGGCCTCTCCTTCCAAATCTTAAGGCTCCCAAAACCCCCTCTGGTGGCCTGCTTTCCTCCATCCCCAGGCACCACAAGTTCCCCAGCCCCAACCCAGTTCTTAGACCAGACCATCCCTCCAGCCCACCTATGGCTGAAGCAGAAGGTGAACACTCATCACACTCCCATTTCTTGCTGTTGGATCTAAGAGAGGAGCAGTCCCTATGGGTTCCGTGGGATCCACACGTAGCACACAGAATGAGGCGCCACTTCCTATGGGGAGAGCCAAGGGGGGATGTCGGGACAAACAGACATTAACTGCTTCTCTGGGGGATGTTTGCTATGGACCAGCCTTGGTTATGTTGAGGGCTTTCACTATCCATTTTACTCATCTCAGATGTGTGAATTAGACCACGTGCTGATCCCAGGACCCTGTAGGCAGGCACAATCACTCATAAGGTGGATTTGGAAAGGAATTGGCTCTAAGTGTCTCTCTACTGGGCACAGGAAGAAGCAGACCATGCAGAGAGACTGGACCACTTGCACATAAATGAGTCAGAGCTGGTCAAAATGGGGTTAGCAATTGCATTCACCTGAGGTCTGCAGATAAACGACAACTTCTTGCTCCTAATAACTGTGCCAAGATCTAAGATGACACTGACAAGAGCTCTTTCTAGTCAGGGCCTTTTCCCTACCCTTCGTCCTGAAAGCTGTCTCTGCCTTGTTCGTACAGACAGATGGGGGCATCACAATGCTGATAGCGCTGATACAGCTCTGAGAAAGCCCCTGGCTCGAGTTCCCAGGCAGCATCTCTGCAGTGGGAGAAGAAATAGTGAATAAGGGACACAAAATCAGCTGGTGAAGCCTTTGTCCATCAAAGAGGAACTAAGGAGAAGCCCAAACTTCTCATTTCTTTTATCCCAGTGTGATTTTGAGGCACAGCAAAGGAGTCCAATAGGCTACCTGAACACCTTCAACAATTGAGTGGCTTGGCTGTGAGAGGGGGCTGACGCAGGGTGACTGGAACATGAGGGTTCCTTAGTTTTGCCCAGGAATTCAAGAACCAACCTCACAGGGACTCCTGATCCCCAAAATGCCTTTTTTTTTTTTTTTTCAGAAACATCTCCCATCCATTTTTTCCTTGCCTTTTCTTCTGAAAAGCGCTCCTCCCACCTCTGGTATTCACTGTATGTCAGTGTCCCAGCTGCTTTCATTCTTTGAACTATCCTCACATTCACCTAGTGTGATTTCTCTAGAAATCCAGGCAACCCATTCCCTGGCTCAATTCCTGCTTTACAGTTTTCTCTACCTGTCTGGTATATGAATTCCCATTCTTAGCATTTCTTGAGGAAACTCTTCTCGATTGTTACACTGAGGACATTTGAAGAAATGTTTTGCTGATGTGTGAGCATATTTCTATAAGAGAAACAGAAGGGCTTTGTGTTGGTAAAAACACTAACCACCTTCTTTTCCACTCTCACCCTCACCCAATGGGGGTATGGAAAAGGAGTTTGGGTAGGTTAGGATGAGGGCTGCAAATCCAGGTGCCAGGCCCGGGATCAAAATGCTTTCAAGAAAGTTCCCAGGCATGCATGCCTCAGCTGTCATCTCTGGTTATAGAGTTTGGCATGCTGACTAGGTAGGGGATACATTTCCTTTTCTTTTATCCCAATGTGATTTTTGAGGTTCTTTGAATTGTTCTGGGATGACTCCATTTGCTCTATCAATCCTGAGGATTTTGCTCAGTCTAAATCTTTTCATGAATGAGGTCCCATAGGCCAAGGATGACCAGAGACTGGGCTGAGTTTCTGCTCTCTGACTACTAACAACTTTGCACAGAGGCCTTCAGCATGGTGTACTGAAGCTGTGATTGAGCATTCCCAGGGTGTTCTAGTTCCATGTAGAGAACACTAAGGCAACTATGGAAGGTTCCCCCAGGGCAGAGAAAGCCCCACCTGGATGCACTTGCGGTGGTAGATAGCTTGACTACAACACGGGCTCTGGATGTTCTCAGCAATGGCTTGGGATAAGTTTTCACAACACAAGACACAGCTTTCCTCTCCCACATTCCCCTGTTGGATGTTCTGTGTTGGCCGATGTTTTCCACAAAATGATCTATGGCAGGGTAAATAGATTTGGTTTCTGGCTTGTCACTGATGCAGATTCCAGCCGCCTGGCCTAGGAGGACAATCAGTCACCCCGCCTGGTGCCTGGTGAATCTCCACACTCACAGGGAGGAGGAGGAGCAGGGTGAAGAACAGCCACATGCCTTCTCATGGCTGCTTTCCCACTGAGCAAAGCTCCTGGGATTGTCTCCACAGCTTCTCATTCCTGAAATCCCCACTTACTTCAGAGCAGCTGTCTAAGAACCCCAGCTGTTTGTAATTTAAGGAGGGGATGAGAAGCAAGAAGAAACCCCTGTGAAATCTTCAAGTCAATACTCTGTTTCCCATTATTGAAAGGAGGAACAGATTCACTGGTGAATCAAAACAGGCCTATGAGAATCAGATTGTGATTTCATTAGTGCCTAAATAGCAAGTTGCAAAAGAGCAGCCTGACTTTTCCAATTCCTCACTCACTTGTACTCTCCAAAAAATTGTGAAAGGCAACCCCTTTCTTGGCCACAAGGCAGATGGAAGTTTCGGATGCAGTGATCCTTCTGGCAGTTGATAGCGGCTCCCTTTTTCTTGCACACAAAGCAGATCTGCAAATGAGATTCCAGACAGTGCTCAGTACCCCAAGACAACAGATACCCTGTGGCACATCTGTGAATAGCCATTCCTTTCGTTAGTGGTTGTGAAAGGTCCAGGGCCCCTAAAGCTGAGTTTCAAGGGGCACTTTTTTTGTTTGTTTGTCTTCAGGATGCTGTTCCCTCTTTTCACTTAGAATACTACATCCCAGAGGAAAATGGGACTCAAGGACTAGGGCTGGGGCAAGAGGTGAGGTAGCTCAGTGGTAGAGCACTTCCTTAGCATGTACAAGGCCCTGGGTTTGATCCCTAGCACTGCAAAAACAAAAAGATCAGTTGGGAAATCCAAAAGTCCTTTGACTTCTGACCTAGCAATTAGGGAAAGAACAGAAACAGGGATTCTGAGAAAGGTCTGAAAAAAGGCCTACCCCGAGGTCCCTATTGCAGGGGGTTCTAACCTTCCTAGAAGCCCGGGCTGCCTCCTTTTTGATGTCTTCAGGCAGGAATCCATGGAAACCTCTGTTGGATTGGCCCCTCTGAGGCAGCTTGCTAGATAGAATCTGGGGAAGCAGCAAAACAAGGCTATCAACATTGATGATGAATAACATAGTGCAATGGAGCGAGAATGCCAGGGTAAGAGAGCTAAGGAATAGAACTTGTTGGTTTATATATGTATTTATAGTGCAATTTATTTAATGACATCTTAGATAGCATTATGTTTGGGTACTCTGAACACTTTTCAAATATTAACCCATTGGGTACCCTAAAATCCCTCTTTTCTATAAGGAATAAGTGACTTGTTCAAAGCCCTAGCAGTCTAGAACCTGTACTCTTTGTATCTTTATGCTACACTGCTTTTCATCTTTCCTATTTTGTGCTGAGGACTTTGGAGAAACACTCCCATTTTTATGTTCACCATAGTTTCTGAGACTCTTATCTTACAGAGGAGGTCAATGTGGTGCAGTAGTGATCAGGCTGGAGTCACATGGTAAGGAGGAACAGAGATGTCATTTACACCTGGGCCCACACTCTTACCCCTCCTGCTGTATTGTCCCTTCAGTACAGAATAAATACCCTTCTTAGAGTTTTACAAGAAGATAAACAGGATTTAAATTTTTTTTTTTTTGACTACAGTCATTCTGCATTATAGGGGAAGGGAAAGGAATTGCATTTTCTTTTACAAACACCCTTCAAAGGGCTATTTGTTTCTGAAAAACTTCTAAAGCAGTGTCTGGAATAGGAAATCAAAGCAAAAGAAGCTAAACTGATCTATTACATGCATTGGGAGAATGTCAGCACCTCACCTCCACACCAAGAATCTACCAAAAGTATTGGGGAGGGGGCTGGACTTGAAGTATTTAGGAAATGTGTAATGGGAGTTCAGGTTATCTTATTTCTGCATTATAGAAAAGTTTACCCTGCCATGTTAGACGACTCTAGGTCACTTATTTCAGCTGCATGTTCCCAATTATGCTTAAAACATATGATATTATATATTATGTTATGAGTATTATTATCTCAGGGTTTTAGAATAATAAGAGAGATTTCTGTTTTATTTATAAAGTATTCACATTTTATACAATCATCATGTTATTGCTATAAACAGAAAAATCAATAAGTATCATAATCTAAACGTCCTTTAATAACAGGGGTTTGTTTTATTACATTTTGGCACACCCATACCATGAAACACCAAAGAGCTATAAAGAAAAAATTAGGTCTATGTGTTCTATATGTTCTAAGGAATAGAACTTATTGGATTATATATGTATTTATAGGGCAATTTATTTAATGACATCTTAGGTAGCATTATGTGTTGAGATTAAAAAAAAAGATACAAGTTAAAATGTATATACTTGTAATGCATAAAAATTAACCAAGCCCTGATACCTGGGCAGGACTTACAAGAAAGGAAAATAAGATCTATCTTTCTCATGAGCATAAATGTAAAAATCAAACAAAATATTAGCAAATTGAGTTCAGCACTATATAAAGACTATATCATGATCAAGTAGAGTTTAGACCAGCAATGCAAAATTAGTTCAACATTAAATGTTAAAGAATCCAGTTGATGTAACAAACCACATTAACAAATGAAAAAAAAATCAAGATCATCTTAACAGATGCAGAAAAAGCATTTGACAAAATTCAATACATATTCATGATATTCTCTGAAAACAATAAAAGGGAACTTCAAGTTGATAAAAACCACCTATGAAAAACCTACAGTGAATATATTTTAATAATGAAAAACTAGATGCTATTCCATAATGTTGAGAACAAGACATAGAAAACCATTCAGAGCACCTCTATTGAACATCAGGTTGAAGGTCCTAGCCAGTATAATAAGAAGAATAAATAAAAGACAAAGATTGAAAAGAAGATACAGAACTGTCTTTATTCACAAAACATGACTATGTACACAGCAAATTCTAAGGCATTTTACAACAAAATAAAAATAATTACTGAACTAAGTGAATTTAACAAGATTTCAGGATACAAAATCAATATATAAAAATAGACTGCATTTCTATATTCAGCCACAAACTTTAAATGAAATTTTAAAATGTCACTTACAATAGCATAACCACAAAATATTTAGGAATACATTTAAGAAAAGATGTGCAAGACTTTTTCACTACAACTATAAAATGTTGGGGATGTAGCTCATTGGTAGAATGTTTGCCTACATTGTGCAAGCCTTAGGTTTAATCCCAGCCATTGGGTGGGAAAAAAGTCTAAAAAATAAAGAACTATAAAACTTTGCCGATATAAAAATTTAAAAGACCCAAATAAATGGAGAAATATACTATGTCGATGGAAGAATTTGATAATTCTCCACAAAATAATCAAAGTTTGAAGTAACCCTAATTACAATCCCAGAAGTTTCTTGGAAAAGAAAAACTAATAAACTTAATAAAAATTTCATAAAGAAAAGGAAAGGACCTGATAACCAAAACAATATTGGAAAAGACTACAACATTTATAATACTTACTTTCAAGACACTACAAAGCAATAATAATTAAGACAGTGGGGTAGGGTTTAAGTATAGACCCACAAAGATCAAAGACATAAACATCATCCAAATTCACAATTGACTTTTATAAAGTCACCTAGGTAATTCAATGGGTAGGCAAAGATTTCTTAGGACACACAAAAAGTACTAATCATAGAAGAAAAAAGTAATAAAGAAGAATTCATCAAAATTAAAAACTTGTTCTTCAAAACATGCCATTAAGAAAATGAAAAGGCAAGCCACAGAAGAAAATACAATACAGATATCTGAAAAACAATTTGTATCCAGAATAGATAAACAATTCTTACAACTCAATTATAGGACCAAACAACCGAATTTTAAAAATGGACAAAAATATTGGTACAGATTCTTCACAGAAAATATGAGAATGATCAAGAAGCTCAACATCTTTAGTTATCAGAGAAGTGCAAATTAAAACCATAATGAGATAGCAATATATATCCAGTAGAATGGTTAAAATGAAAAAGACTGACAATATCAAGTTTTGGCAAGACATCATGCAACTGGAACTCTCATAAATTGCTTGTGGGAGTGTAAACTGGTACAATCACTTTGGAAAATGACTTGGCAACTTCACATGAAGTTAAACATCTATTTAGCATACAACCGGTAATTCTACTCCTAGACATCTGCCTAAGAGAAGTGAAAACACATGTTCACAAAAAAAGTTGGACATGAATGTTCATAGCAGCTTTATTCACAATAGTTCCAAAATGGAAACAATTCAAATGTACACTAGCAGGTGTACACTATAACACATTCATATGACAGAATACTACTAGGCAACAACATGGATGGATCTCCAAAACATTGTGTTAGGAAAAAAAGCCAATGATGAAAAAGTAAAACATCATGGTTCAAATTATATGAAATCTACACTGGGGTTGTAGCTCATAGTAGAGTGTTCACCTTGCATGTGGAGGGCACTGGATTCAATTCTGAGCACCACATAAAAATAAAATAAAGGCATTGTGTCCATCTACAACTAAGAAGTATTAAAAACATTTATATAAAGTCAGATTATGCAGAAATAATCTATAGATCACAACTGTGATTATCTCTGGTGGAACTATCTAGAAAAGGTCAGGATGATGGAAATGCTGTTTGATTAGGGTGGTGGTTATACAAGGATATACTTTTGTCAATATTCACCAAATTGTACACTTAAAATTGGTTGCATTTTATAGTATGCAAATTTTACCTAACAAAAAAGAATACTGGGAAAAAAATAACTTGAAGGATATCCTAAAGTAATGGAAGTATTTGTCTTTGGGGAGGGCAAGAAAGATTGAGGATATTGTTTTGGGAAGAAGCTTTTAATTGTACATACTTTACAGTGACAGGATTTTATACCAGGTACATATATTATATTTTTTGGATTAAAAAAAAAGCCTATTAAGGAAAACAAACAATACTATAAATTTGAGACTGGATGCCAAAATAGTCTGTGTGGGAAATGCCATGACATTCAAAGTAAAGGAGGCTTGTACTCACAAGACAGAAATAATGCACGCTGAGATTGTCTTTCTGAAGGAATTCTCCTAACTTTTCGGGATCCCCAGGTTCTCGAAAGCATAGCCGGCAAACTAGAAGAGTGAATGTTAAGAATTAACTATACAGGCTTGGCTCAAGTTTATCTACAAGAATGGAAAAGAAGTGGGAGCTAACCATATAAGTACAGGAAGGAATACAGATGCTCTTTGACTTATGAAGGGCTTATGTACAGACAAACCCTTCATAAGGTGAAAATATCATCGATCAAAAATACATTTAATACATCTAACCTACCAAACATCTCAGCTTAACAACAAAGCATGCTGTAGAGTGTTGGTGGTTGCCCATCATGGTGTGTGGCTGACAGTGGCTCACTGCCACTGTCCAGTGTTTAGTATCATACCATATATACCTAGCTTGAGAAAAGATCAAAATTCAAATTTTAAGTACAGTTTCTATTGTGAATGCATATCAGTTTTGCACCACTGTGAAGTCAAAACATTGTAAGTGATACTATGTTAAGTCAGGAACCATCTGTTTTGGGAAGACAGACATTTTGGCAAGGAGGAAGGTTAGAATGACATCTTATTCAGTATCATTTAGGATTTGATATAATTTTGGTCACACTGAAAAAGTTGGCTGCAACTACTCCACAATTTTTGGTTTTAAGTGGCTTTACTTGTTTCTTTAACTTTGTACATGAAATTTATAGACCGTGAGTTATTCAGGCCCTTAGAGAATCTGGGAAACAAGTAGTGTTGATAGTGAGAAAACCAAGTTTACTGCCCTATACAGGTGGCCTTCTTTGCTGAGGTCTGCAGGCAGCAGCTGAACACAGCCTCATCTTTCTTACCAGGCCCTGAAGATGGCTTCCTCTGGGTTACCTTCCTAGTCCTGGCAGATTTCCTATACAAGAGAAAGAAGTGCAAGAGGCCCTTTGAGGTTTGATAACCCTTATAACATTTCCCTTAAATGCCATTCATATCTGATAAAGAACCAAAATATTTAAAGACTAAAATATCAACTTATTTTCGTAATTTTTTTTTTTTGTGTGTGTGTGTGTGTGGTGCTGGGGATTGAACCCAGGGCCTTGTACATGCGAGGCAAGCACTCTACCAACTGAGCTATCTCCCCAGCCCCTTATTTTGATAATTCTTAAAAGCATAAAATACCCACTAAATTATCTGAGGGTGGTAAAACCCCTTTTACTCTTTTATTGTTTACCGTGCCAATACTAAACTGAATTGTAAGGGTATCACCTTCACAAAGCACACTAAAGTGATATCAAAGTTAACTAAGCATTACCCATTGCTAGATACTAACCTTGCCCTTTACTACAGAATAGAACATTCTAAAAAGTGGGTTTGAGTTGGGGTTCAAGTGCTCAGTGGTACAGCACTTGCTAGCATGTGCAAGACCTTAGGGTCTGATCCCCAGCATGGGTGGGTGGGGAAGGTAGCTGCTATTATTTTGCACATCTTATAGATGAGGCATAAAGAAATGATTCGTCAGGTGCTAAAAACATTCATTGGAGAAAAGATAGCCTCTTCAACAAATGGTGCTGGGAAAACTGGAAATCCACATGTAACAAAATGAAATTAAACCTCTATCTCTCACCATGCACAAAACTCAACTCAAAGTGGATCACGGACCTAGGAATTAAACCAGAGACTTTGCACCTAATGAAAGAAAAAGTAGAGCCAAATCTCCATCATGTTGGATTAGGTCCCAACTTTCTTAATAAAACTCCTATAGTGCAAGAATTAAAACCAAGAATCAATAAATGGGATGGATTCAAACTAAAAAGCTTCTTTTCAGCAAAAGAAACAATCAGTGAGGTGAATAGAGAGCCTACAGAATAGGAGCAAATCTTTATCACAAGTACATCAGATACAGCACTAATCTCTAGAATATACAAAGCACTCAAAAACTTAACACCAAAAAAAAAAAAACAAAAACAAAAACAAATAACCCAATCAATAAATTGTCTAAGGAACTGAACAGACACTTCTTGGAAGAGGATATACAATCCATCAATAAACATATGAAAAAATGTTCAACATCTCTAGCAATTAGAAAAATGCAAATCAAAACTACACTAAGATTTCATCTCATTCCAGTCAGAATGGCAGCTATCAAGAATACAAATAACAATATTTGTTGGCGAGGATGTGAACTCATACATTGCTGGTGAGACTGCAAATTAGTGCAGCCAATCTGGAAGCAGTATGGAGATTCCTTGGAAAACTTGGAATGAAATCACCATTTGACCCAACCATTCCAGTCCTCGGTTTATACCCAAAGGACTTAAAAACAGCATACTACAGGGACATAGCCTTATCAATGTTTATAGCAGCACAATTCACAATAGCGAAATTATGAACCAACCTAGATGCCCTTCAGGAGATAAATGGATAGGGAAACTTTGGTATATACACAAAATGGAACATTACTCAGCATTAAAAGAGAATAAAATCATGGTATTTACAGGTAAATGGATGAAGCTGGAGAATGTAATGCTAAGTGAAGCAAGCCAATCCCAAAAAACAAAAGGTCAAAAAGTTTTCTTTGATATGAGGATGCTAGCTCATAATGACGATTGGCGGGGAAGCATGGGAGGAATGGAGGAACTTTACATAGGGCAAAAGGGAGGGAGGGGAAAAGGAGGGGGGCAAGAATGATGGTAGAATGAATTAGACATCATTACCCTAAGTATAAGACACGAATAGTGTGAAATACTTTGTGTACAATCAGTGTCTTGAAAAATTGTGCTCTATATGTGTAATATGAAATGAATTGCATTCTGCCATCATGTATAACAAATCAGAATAAATTTTAAAAAATGAAAAAAAAAAGAAATGATTTGTCTCAGGTAATATAGTAACAAGCGGTAGGGCCAGGACATTAATTTAGGTAGTAAAGTTCTAGAGCCAGAACTTTGCAACTAGGGAATGAATTAGGTAAAAGGGCAGCTTCCTGGGACATTGATATGTGCTTTCACATTGTCCAATCCTACTCCTCGGGACCAGGCCAGGCCAAAGGGAGCAAAAAAGTGCAACTGTACAAGTCAATGGACAACTAGCCTATGTCACCTACTCTACCTCAATCTTAGGCGTTCCTTCTTCTTTTCTTTTATAGTCTTCATTCGCTGCTGCCTCTCTCTCCTATCTTGAATTCTTCTATAGTATTATGAAGACAATACAGGCTCTTCCAGCTATAAATATAAATAGAGCTTGGTCAGCAATTTAATCCTATATTTATTTTGGTTATCAAGTTCCACAGGATCAAAGCAATAGTGCATTTCACCTCTCAACCCATATGATGGAATGAAAGGGATGTACCCAGTATCAACAATAATAATAGCTAATAATTATTAAAACTGTGTCAAGAATTGTTCTAGGTACTTTATATATGTTAACACACACACACACACACACACATGCATTAGTTACTATTATTATGACCACTTTCAAGATGAGAAGACTAAGACATGAAGAAGTAATTATCTTGTCCAAGGTCAGAGTTAGTGAGAAATAGAAGTAGGATTTCAACCCAAATAGCCAGATTCCAGAGGCCAACATGTTGTACTGCTATCACATAGCACTTTAAGAACTTGGAATCATCGCTTGACCTAGAAAAGTGATTGTTTCCTTTGTGTCTACCAAATGCATGAGTAAAAAAGTCACCTTTTGCACCCAAGTGTGCAATTTGCCCAGTAAAAGCCAGGTGAGGTAGCTCTCTCCTAGAAAAAGGAGCATGAGGTTTTGGCTGCATAAAAGCAACAATTCCCTCAAAAAATAACACTGAGAGCAACTCAGGAGTCTGAGGGAGAAGGATCATGAGTTCAAAGTCAGTCTCAGCTATTTAGTGAGGCCCTAAGCAACTTTGTGAGACCCTGTCTCAAAATAAAATATGGACAAAGTGCTCAGGATGTGGCTCAGTGGATAAGCGCCCCTGGGTTCAACCCCTGGTACAAAACAAAACAAAACGAAACAAAACAAAAAACACTGAAAAATCAGCCCCTTAGCTCCTATTACTCCTTTTCACCAGGCTCAAATGGCCACTGAGGTTTGGCCTGTTCCTAACCTATGTCTAGATATGAGCAGTGTAAAATACCCTAAAGTGGATGACATCTTGCCACTCCTCTAGCCACCAATGTCAGCAGATTAGAAAGTTTCGAGGTTTTCATTGGTGGTGGGTAAATCCCTGAAAGTGAAGGGGGACAAAAAGAAATCAAATTCACCCCTGTGAAGGAAGGACTGTGTCTAGTCGGAGGATAATATTTCTTAGAAGTAGAGCAGGGTGAATTAGGTCACTCCAGAGACACACTCCAGTCACTCCAATAGGTCATTCCAGTACCCACGGCCTCGGATCAAGGCAGGGGATCATGAATCCCTCCGGGGACTTTCAACTATTCTGCATGAATACCACTCTAAGGCAGTAGCTGCTCAGAAGACCAAGGCTAGCCTGCCCGCCTTGTGCTTGCTCCATCTCCTCTTCTAACCCATGAGTTGCAGTTGCAAAAGCTGACATTTGTCGCCTTCTTACTCATCAAAAGCGCTTGGACAGGCTGGAAGAGGAGAGAAAAGGGCGCACGCGCTAAAATTTGCTGTTCCCATAAGGGACCCACTGTAGCTGACATGACTGAGTGGTTCTCAGTTGCTGGGGTTATCCCGATCATCTAGCAATAGAAATAAACCTTGAAACTTCAGTTGTTTGCATCGCTGGACCACGACGTTCCTTGGGTAGGATTCTGTGCACACCGGTAGTTACAAGACGCAACAATCTTCAAAATATTAGAGGAGGGGCGTGGCCAATGCGGGCTTCCACAAGCTGCTCAGTCCGTGATTTCCTAACCCGGCGGTTGCTCCCTCCAAACGCTTACCAAGTTGTTTCACTGTAAAAATGCTGGGCAAATGCTTGCTGAGAAAATGAAAAATAAATTAACGTGTTCGGCCCCGCCGCCGTCGCAAGATAAACACTGATTTATTTGGAAAATACGTGTCGGTGTGGCCACAACCGTCCCCGGAGGTAACTGCCGGAGAAGAGGCTCAAGGACCATCCCGCGGGTGCCAGACCAGGCTCATGTCGCGCCTGCCTGGCGGCTGATGCGGGGTCGGGCCGGAGGTGGGCTCCGCTGCTCGCTCCTCACGATAACTCACGGGCCGCTGCTCCCGGCCGGGGCTGCCCACCCAGCTATCGCTGAGGGCGCCGCTGTCCGGGAGCTTTATTCGTTGTCACAAGCCGTGATAGCTACCTCACGGGCGGCCGCCCCGCGCGGTGACTGCACCCCGCGAAGGAGGCGAACGTGCAAACAGGGGCTGGGTCACGCGGACTGTAGCCCACCAAAAAGGTCATGACGCCGACCGTTGCCAGAGCGCGACCGCTAACGGCCGCGCGCTAACGGCCACGCGCCTGCCC